TTGAGAATGTATCAAGTCCACTGTCAGATGCTGGGAATCATGACAACTACTCTGGCAGACGACTTCGGACGAGGTGCGTTCTACTAAGTCGCCCTGACAACAAGACCAAGTTGCGACAACGAGGTCAACACACTTCTATGCATTGAAAGAAGACTGCAACCTTACCAGAGGTCACAACATCTTGGTCTTCATATATTTTATTGAACTCGATCTTGGTTTATGCCCATTCTTTTGGCATGTAAAGGATTCAAATGGTCATCTAACACCTCTTTAAATTGCATAATTCCTACATTTGGTCAGGCAGCTAACACAATTCTTTCGACTTGTTTTTTTCACAATATTTTCTCTGAGCCAATGGCTCATCAAGACTAACAAAACTGTAGCCTGTCGACTTTGGCTTGGAAATAATATGACTTTAAGCTTCGACGTCCTCTAGAATAAATAATCTTTACAAGCTAAGTAGTCATATTGAGTAGTGCCATGAGTTATCAGTAGAACCTTTCACAGAACATTTAAATGCTGAGTTATGATTTGTATTCATCCTTTTTCGTTAAGGTGCTGATAGACTGGTAGTTAAATCTTCCCACAATCAGTTGAGTAGGCCTTACGCTTTTATTTAATTTTACATTGCCTTGCTTCCCAAATATTTTGCTCACCCAAGCAGGAGTGGACTGCAGTTTAAGTCTCGCCCAAACTGGTTTCATTATCACCTGAAGTAAGACTCGAACCTGGGTTATGTTAATACAGCATATAATCTCGACACGTTGCCCATTACGCCATATTGGCACGAATTCCTTTGGGATACAAGGAGCAAATGAATTTCAATGATGGCCATATCGTCTAACATATCACATTCTGTGGTTGGATTGTTGATTGATCAAAGTTGTATTTGCTATAGCAACCGACTACAGGTGATGAGGGACTGGTAGATGAATTTTTTCACAATCATGTGAAATGAAACTGTAGCTGACTCCAGCTTGGAGAAGAATAATTGTGAGATTTAAAGCCATGCGAAATTCATAGAAAACGTAAGGTCTACTCATCTGATTGTGAGAAAATGCATCTACTTTTATTATCTTAACGAAATCATGTGAATACATTTCATGTATATGATTACATGGTAGTCTCGAAAACCTACTTATCAACAAATATTAATGCTCACTTGTTATTGCCTCAAGCTCGCGAACTTATTTCTGATCTTGTTGAGGCTGTTGGGAAAAACTGGACAAGGTTACACCGAAACTAAAACCCTTCAAGTGGCATTTAACATCGAAATAGAGCCTGGTTAATATAATGTAGGCAGCTGAATTGTAAGAATTTAGATCAGTCAAAACCAACTTTAAGTGAACGTAGTACTTACAATTGCAGTAGCATTTTTACTTTGTTGTTGTCAAAGTATGTGCTTTGCTTTACCGGGCTCGTAAGAAGATATGATTTTTCACTTTTGTTTCATTACAGTGTTTCATTAGCTCCTTCTGAGGGTTGTGTAATTTCACATTTATGCCTCATTTTTGTTGCCATTTGAAGCGGTATCGTCAAGAGGAGCGTGCCCGAGGCATGAGTAAGACTGGAGAAGCGGGATATCCCGAGGATGCCAATAATATTGATGACAATGCAGATTTGGAAGATGAAATGGACATTGAAATCTTGCTCAACGAAGCTCTTCCGGTAAGCAAACTTCAACTTTGACCTTTTTACCTATTTCACATTATGCTTTAAAGGATTTAAGGTGTAAAAAAAACTCAAGTTGGCAAGGGAAGACTTGCCGACCCATACACAAGAAGTTGTTTAGACATAAACCACCCGCAAAAGTCTATGGATCCAAAAACCCTAGTTAGCGCAACACGAAAGAAAATAATCCGAAACAGAGTTTTGCAGGTTACGGGAATTTCGGATCCAAGAGTAAGATTTGAGAGTATATAGAAATAAAAAAATAACCAGCATCCTGAATAGATGAAAGGATTGCATGAAATTGAGCATGAACTATTTGGTACTGTTGAATAGGCTTAAAGAGAGACTGAATAAGGTGAAAGAGGAAAAACTGCTGATAAGAAGTGTAGACTTTCAGTGTGATTATGGATCCAAAATTTGACGTAAATTGGAATTGCATACACACATTACGCAATACCATATGCCTAAAATGTTGCCCAATCATAGATTAACAATGCTTGCTTAGGCAAGGAAACATCTGACTCTAACTCCACTTCCTTTTCATCCATAAACCTTTCCATATACAAGAATATATATTATGGGCATTAAATTGCCAATTAAATCATGAGAATATTCATTAGGATCGCGAATTGGGCATAAAAAGTGAGTGTGCTTACATGGGGCCAACTTAATTTTCTTTACTTTTTGTATTTAGTGAGTTTTGTCTTAAAGTATGATTTATTGTTCTGATGGTGTCTGTCACAGCGGTACAGGTGATAGCTTAGCTCATGTTCATCGGGTTCGCAGGACGGTGAGTCGATGACTTTTTAGCAGAATCCAACAATCTTCCTTCCGCGACAATCCTCCTTCAGGTTTCCGTTGAGACCATTTCACGAATTCCCTTCAACCAACGTTCCTCTCGAAATGAAGAGTCATTTCCGGATGGCACCCAATAATGATGTGCAAGAAAGTCTACGATGCCAGCCTATTCGGGGGGGAAGGCCTCAGTCTTGGCTGGAAAAGGATCATCACAAAAGCTTAATTGACTTGTTTTTGCTCGATTTCTGTTTGTACCCATTTTCTCCCTCCTCAAGTTCCGTCAGGCTTATTCTTCCCATTTGCTTCTGCTTTGTCTCCTCATGTAAACACACACACACACATATACACGCACACGTGCACATGTACACCTTATCGCTACAACCGTGCAGCCGGAAGAGGAGGATGCTGAAGACGACGACCAAGAGTTGGAGGAGGAGGCAATCGAGAGAATCACAGAAACGATGCGGGAAGACTTTGAGTCCGAGGAAAGCGCGCAAGATGAACTGATTGAAGCGCTGAATGAACTACGAATTCCGGTAAAACGGGTAGACGCAGGCGCCTCCATCATTGTCGTTCGACACAGATTGATCAAGGTTAGCTTCTCGCCATTGGTTGTGCCAGACTAAAAGAATCGGACAAAACCTTTGCTGGTGCCTACGTGGTTCCAACAGCTTCTGCTAAATGGACCTTTCTTACATGCTTTTACGACCTGGATACGTTCTCACAACATTTTCTTGAGACGTTTAGTTGAGACTTTGCATCTGTGGCACATTAAGTGGCCTTTCGCAGTGCCGGCAGGCCAAGTTAGTAGGTACATTTCATGGTTTCGGTAAACGGGCTTTATGACAACTCAACTATGAGTAGAATCTAAGAGATACCGGACAATCTCGATTAAAAACAGATCAGTAGATGATGGATTGTATTTTATGGCCACTTCGAATCCGATTTAAAACGCCTAATTCTGTTGGAAAAATAAGTTTACACACCTAAATAAGGTTAGCATAAGACGCTGCGTCTGCAGAGTATAGCATCGGGATTTTGACGAGATTCAGCCTGAAATCAAAATTTTTCTTCCATCTGTCTTTTCGGATTGGCGATGATGGAAAAATGTTGCCTCGATAGGAAATCAGCTGTTTTAGAGTCCGATAAAAAGTGAAAGAAGACACGCTTATTATTTTTGCTTAAAACTTCAAAATCCATTATTAGAGACCATTTCATTTTGTATGAAAGTTCATGATGAAGAGATTTATTAGCCAATCTCAGCAGAAGATTACGGCCAAATGTCGTTGTTCGTTCAAGTTGACAATCTATGAGACATTCTTGCTCGTTTCCGGTGAAAAAGGGCTAAAATTTAGTCCATTATCTGATAAAAGTTATCTTTGCTGAAGCTCCCTTG